TATGATAGCCTATAACATACATAAGTGCACCCTCGTAGATGTGTGTTGCGTGTCGGACACACTTCGCACATGCGACACCAATCATGTAAATTTGTTGGTGGCTATTGTGTTCCCCGTCAGCGCCACCAACTACAGTAGTTTTCCACATTTCTCCTCCAAAGCGCAACATATGCACCATTTTGACTGTCGAAGTGCGGTAATATGATTATGCTGGGGTTTCACTTTACAACTCACACACATGCATATGCATCCATATATACGCTCGTATATGCCTAGGCATTAAAACAATAAAAATAAGCGCAACAAAAAGTATCATCGTAAGCTCGTTGTTGTTGCGGCAACCACGCATTTGTGGTGTCACTTATACGGTCAGCGGTTATTGGTGTTTGTTTTGATTTGAATTTCGTTTTTTTTTTATGACTTTTCATTTTTACATCACTCTAGAATATAGCTTGCTATACTAGACTAGGGCTTACATTGAGGTACAGCAAGCGGGTGAGTTCTAATTTCTGCGCTCAATTTCAAATTATGTTGCTTTCGTAGGCAAAAGGGGTTGTTGGTTGATAGTTTGTGGTTGTTGTTCTTGTTTTGTTTTAGTTCTTCACTCAACCACAATTTGATCACTTTAAAAATTATTAACCACATAATGGCATTAAGTATGATATTAATAATAAAGTTTGTATGTATGGGAGTTTAAGATAGTATAAAGGAAGTGATAAATTACATCCACATATGTGACCCCCATATATTAGCTGAGATCCTGAGTTAGATTTATCGAACGTTAGAGAGTAGCGAATCGAACGAACTATACCAACTATTCAAACAGAATATAATAGGAATATTCTTTACTAGAACGGTATCTTGAAAGTGGGCCCTACCTAGTACTGTCTTTACCGTACTTTTATTAACTAGAGGGTTTAAAGAGAGAAAGTTTTACCGTAAATTCATTAACTATAGAATTTAAAGAGAGAAAGTTTTAGCGTTTCCTCACTACACCTAAACATCAGCTATGACTTCATGGGGTAGCTGGTCCGGGTCGTTTGTATAAGTCTAGTACAAAGATGTCAAGTATGGATTTATTTATCACTGTTACAATTATCCGATTTAGGCACCTGTTCATAGACACGAACAGTTAATAATCACTTGATGCCAGATTCAAATTACAAGGAATCTCCCAGAGCTTCTGGCGAGTCACTATCGATGTGTGTGGCCTGGCATTGTCCTGTTGGAACACATTTCTTTCCTATAGTCAAAGCTGACCACTTCTGGGCGATTGTTTGACAGTACGGGTCCGAATTAAGAATTTGGCCGCAGGACGGCAGCTCATGGTAGATAGTGCCGAACACATAGTAAGACCTTCTTCATTTAATGTTGGTTATTATTATTTCGGGAAGTTTTTTTTGTCGCTACAAAAACCGCGGTTACGATTGGAGCATAATAACATAGGTTCAATATTTTGGGGCTATTCTTTAATCCTCTAACAAAGCCCACTGAGCTTTAGAAATTATCCAAAATATTTTTCCATGTTTCTTTCAGGGTTACCTAAAAAAATTAACTAATGGAAGATTTATCTACGAAATTCTTCGGGTTCAGTTAATTCACGGACCAATTGTCCTACACTTTTAACTTTATACAAGCGTTTTTTGGTAGGTTAAGTCTGAGTACAAAACATGTAGCGCACTCTCGTAGAAAGGGTTGGAACTATTTAGAGAGCCAGATAATAGCTTCGAGAGTTTAGTTCCGCTGAACATCTTCATCTGGAAATCTAGAAATCTTCTCTCTGGAAATCTTGATCTGAGTAATTGAAAGCATATTTAACAATAAAATGCTTAAGGTTAAGGGCTACTAATTTCGATTATTTTATTTCAAAAGTAATACGAATTAATTAAATAAATGCCAAAGCTCTTCCTATATCGCATATCTATACCGCAAATAAAGGCAACCCAGTTCACAACAAAAACAACAATTACTTATTACCACAATTCACCCAATTATAAGGTGTTTTTTTGTTTGTTTGTGTGTGTTTGTAAGACAATCATTTAATTACTCATTGCATTCTCAAGCGCAAATAAAAACTAATGAGATTTTTCAATAGCGAAACGGTTAAAAGCCCAGCACAAGTAGTGGTAAGTGGAAAAGCCAGCAGCTGCACCATTCCAAACGTCGCACGCCAAGCGCTGAGCGTGGCACACCAAAATGTAACATATGAATGTGTGTATGTGTGTGTGTGTGAGGCCAAATTAATCTCTTGCCGCTGACCTTCAAGTCGACTGTCGTCATTTGATACAGACTTTTGCTATTGCGGCAGCAAATAAGATAAATGAGGCAAATACATATATATTTCACATATACATATCTACAATATAAATAATTTTTTTTTGCACATATGGAGCGATATGTACGTTTGTAAATATGTATGTAAGCATTAGCTTGGCTTTGAATTCGCTGGGACCACCGCAAAGCGCGCATTGATTTGGCACCTCAATAGCCGATCGTTGGACCGAACGTTTGGGCATAACGGTGTAGAGTGATATGTAGAAAAAAAAACATATATACATATGTACATATACATAGGTATGAGGTTTCTTCGTTCAACATGGTGAGCCGCCACCAATTTTGGCGATCTTGGCTATTGAGCTATGAGCTCGCTTGTTTTTTACTTTAATTATTTTTGTTTTTTACTTTTATTATATTATTTCTTTTTCTTTTTAATTTAATGCGAAATAAATATTTGCGATTTCTTCTTTGGTGTCACTTGCCATTTGTTGAATTGTTGCTTGGCTTTATTGACAGACCGTTTCAATTGATACCATCGCTAAGTGTATTTATTTTATAATCGGTTGCGTAATTGTGCAAGAGTAATTGGTAAATAAGCGGAATTAATGGAGGGGGTTACATAAGTTTGGAATGTTTATCTGCGATAATAAATAATTATGTGTACATATATACTAATTTTTAACTACCAAAAAAAAAAATCACAAAAGCCAGAGGTTCCACAGAACCTTCGTAAATATTAAAATTTTTAAGATTAAATTCTAAACTTTTAAATTAATTAAGATTTAAAAAGTTTATAAAAAATAAATATAAATAATAAATAAGTAAATTATAGTAATGCAATGATTATTTGCTTTAATTTAATTTGGTTCATAATAAAAAAATATATAAAAATTAAATAATTTCAATAATTGGATGAAAAAATATATATACAGATCATATTTTTAATGCAAATGTTCAAATTATTTAAAACAAAACTATAAAAAAAAACGTACATAAACTAAAATAAAAAATATTTTAAAATTCACTATTTTCGACAAAAAAAAAAAAAGAAAACATCATATTCGACCACTCGAACCATCCAGGTGTCTACTAAGCAACGCAAAGGAATGTGGCTGCCACAGCTGTTATTTGTAGTTTTTGTTTTCAAATTTATTTGATTACTTGTTGTTATTGCAAACTTCGGATTATGCGCTGTTGAAAATGGGCGCGGCGTTCAAGCAACACAACGCGGCACACATTAACACATTTGCGACTCTTCAACCCATAACCGCCTAACTGGGTGTCTAAAAATATTTATTTATTTTATTTTTATTTTTTTAGAAAATAAAGTGAACTTATGTGCCAAACATGTTAAATGATTTGTTTTATTTCTGCTAATTTGTTGTATAGCCTTTGCTGTTTGCTGTTTACTTTACTTCGGCTCGGTTAAGAGGCACAGCGTGGAATGGACGGCAAATAAAATTCAAGCCATGCTTGGTGTGGTCACAAATATTTTGGTGTCACAAAATTAATCGAAAATTACGAGGACAAATCAATTTAAGTGTGGTGACCGTCACACAGTTTAGAAATAGTTGCGCTCTAGCTCTAATAATGTGGTTGTTTACTTATTTAACCTCAGATATTTCTTATAGATTTAATTAAAGTATATAACAGGATTAAAAGAGTCGATTTGGGACATATATAGTATTACTTAGGTATTACGAATATATTTGGCTGTGGTCATGTGAATATTTTTTCAGAGCCGAATATCCATGAACAAGATAATGTTCGGTGTTTGGTGAGATCAGAAGGGTGTGTTGTATTATGAGCTACTAAAATTGGAAACTGCTAAAGTCGCTGCAGAACGCCCCCATTGGTAAATGGTTCACATTAGAACAGAGTATTAAAAATTGGCTTGATTCATTTTTAGCTACCAAGTCGGCGCAATTCGCTTGGTATGGAATCCACAAATTGTCAGAAATATGATAAAATGTTAGGCTTCAGATAGCCAATATTTAAACGTTCAAATAATGAAAAACGAATATAGGTACAGTCATTCATCTACTGTGTTTCAACATAATCTTAGATTTAAATCTTGTCAGTGGCATTAATTTATAGCGCAAGCAATTACATGCTATTTTATGTGGACCAATACTTGTAATATGACATTCTGGCTCAAGGAGTATAAAGCTATCACTTTGGTTCCAAGTCGAAGTTTGATCACATCTACAACCCCTCTTGAGAATAACAAAAAATATAACGTAGTAGTGGTAAAAACGATATACTGAGCAGTTGAGTTTATTAATTAGTTCCCGGCAGGAAAATTATCTATAGTCTAAATCTATGATTTAATATTTTATTTTTAAGTTCCCAACATAATTTCACACATCAGCACTTTCAGGGTATAGAATCATTTCACTGGTTTTCAAGCCATGTACAATACAATTTTGGGTAATTCTTTGGATGAATAACAGATCACCTCACCTCCGAATTTATTTATATAATATACATAGTGATACAAGGCGCCCCTAAACTGAATTCGGGGAAAGAGCATAATTGAGTCAAGGTTAGGTTAGAGCATTCTTCAAACAAATTCCGATATAGCGCATTTTGCAAAAAACGTGACAATTTAGCGTAATCTTGTATGCAGAAAACAGGATCACGTTGCCTCATAAAATTTTTTAGTATGTGTGCGCCTTATCTTACTACTTTAAAAATACGTATTTCGAATGAAGTTAACTTACCGCAATTTGGTGGCATATTCTTTTTCTATCGCCAGACGATCTTGTATGAAACTGCAGTATTTTTCAAGGAATTCTATGCCTTTGTTCGTCTGTGACGATATATTTTCATACTGATCCTGTAAATAAAGATTGAAATTAAAATTTGTAATTATATTTTTTATAGACAACAAGTTAATAGTAAAGATCTGTATATACATATATAAATTAAAATACTTAAAATAGAGTTAAATTTTAAAGTGACATGAGGTTATATAATGCTAGAACTCTATAAAATACTGCTTAAGATGCACAACAACCGATTTCACAGAAAAAGCATAAAAGAAATTTGTTTCTAGTTATTTTGATTTTGGTAGGTTGCATTCTATAGTTCGAGATTTGGCAACCCTAGTGTTGCAATCTGCCAACTCACAACTTTATCGTAAAATTTTTTGATATTATACATATTCCCAACGTTTTGGCATTCGAGCGCCATTTGATTTGTTTACAGTAACTTAAAATATTCATTTCGGCCAAAAAATGGAAATAAATCGCGAACAATTGAGCGTGATTATTTTTTACAACTTTCGACGTGGATTAACTCAGCAACAGTGCATCGATGAACTTAATTAAATTTTTGGCGATAAAACTAAATCAAAGACCAATGTTTATCGATGATATGGTGAATTCAATCTAGGGCGTAGATTACACCAAGCCGAATTTCGTAAAGGTCATCCAAAATCAGTTGTTGTTCCAGAAACTATTGATGCTGTGCGCCAACTGATATTGCAAGATCGTCATGTGACCCTTCGTGAGATTGAGACAACTATAAGCATTAGTGGGCATTATTGCATGAACATTTGACTGTAAAAAAAATATGTTCATATGGAATCCCACCCAATTTGACAGTCGCTCAAAAAAAGGCTCGTGTCATTTAGTCGAGAGAAATGTTAAAAAAAAAATACGAAAGCCATGCTTCGAAACATGTCTATGACATCGTAGCAGATGATGAATCGTAGATTTAAGCGTATGAGTCCGAAAGTAAACAACAGTCGACTGTATGGGTGTTTCCAGATGAGCACTTCCAAGCAACTGATTGCCTTTTTTTTTTTGGAAAGCCTGAGCACGTCGCAACCATACTATTAGAACAACGCCGAACAGTAACTTCTGAGTGGTGTACACCCATTTGTTTTCCAGTTGTCTTTCAAGAAATCAGAAAAACCAAGTGCCGAAAACGGATCAGTATTCACCAAAATAATGCAAGCTTTCACGCATCGATTTAAACAACTGCAAATATGAGCACACAAAAAATCGATTTGATGAGTCATCCAATGGATGACTTTTTATTATCGTACGTAAAAAATAAATTAAGAGGACAACGTTTTTCGACACCTGAAGAGGAGACTCCTCAACCAGAGTGGCGAAAGTCAAACACATGCAAAAGTGTATAGATCTTAATGGAGAATATTTTGAAAAACAATATAACGATTTCCGATGATTAATATTTGTTTGTGTTCTCTAGTCCCAAAATATAAAAGGCAGCCCTCGTATTTGATATAGAGTGTCCAATTTTACAGTTATTATTTTATAATTGAATTACTGCCTTGTGTAAATGAACTTTTTTTTAAATAAACAATCCAAAAAGTCAACATAATTTTGTATAAAACAAATAGGATACCGATTTTCATTAAAGAGTGTGGCTTTTTGCCTTAGTGTAGAAAACACTTCTATTATTATGTACATAGCTGTACGAATACGTAATTTGTTAAAAATATTTCCAATTAACTGATTATACGATATCAAGAAATACCATGGCAAAACACGAGCTAGTGCATAAGCACAACGTAGTCTTTCATTGCGAAAGACATGATACTTACAAAAATGTGTCCGTAGCCATATAATTTTATAGGCGGATATTGCATTGCTTACATTTTGAGAGCTTAAATGAATTATAATATTATATTTATATATTACAAAGCTCATATAAGACCAACAATAATATCAATTTTTTGCTTTGACAAAAAGAAATGTAACTTTGAAAGTGTTTTCCTATACAGAAAATGTCTTCCATTTCACAAATTGGCTTTACTTTTATTTTCTTTAAGTGAACTTACTGAATAACAAAATACGAAATATTTGTGAAATTTACAAACACTGTCATACTGACCACCAGTGACTCAAAATGTTTCTCAGTGTAGTCTTTATTCACGTTTGTACATATTATATATATATATACCTATATATGCATATATGGAGGTATAAACATATTCTATCAAATCGCACTCTCATAATGGAAAAGTAATTTATCTAAAAATAACAAAAGGCAGCACTTGAAAATATGTTTTAATTGATATTGAGAAATATGGACGATATCAGAATTTATTTCGAGAACATATGGCCAAAAATTGTTGGCGAATAAACAAAATTGGCAATGAACTCATTTTCGAAAATAAATAAATTTGTTGCGTTTCTGCATGTTTCGTGTGTGTAAGTAAGTAGGTAAATAACAAATTGATTTTATATACCATACTATTAAAGTTTAAAACAATTTCTAGGTAAAAAAAAATGTTTATTGTAAATCTTCTAATTTAAATTATTTTTATAGTTATTTAAACTTTAACAATTTACAATTATTATTACGTTTTCGCCAATATTACCTTAAGAGTCATTACATGATACCACCGTAAGAAACTATATTCAGAATTAATTACTTAGAACATGATAAAACATTATATTAAAAGAATTGCTAAAGAGAAAGAAAGCTATAATACTGCTCACGAATATAAAAGCGACCTCACAAGAACTTGATTTTGATCAGTCAGTTTGTATGCCAGTCATATGCTATAGTGACTCGACCTGAACAATTTCTCCAGAGATGGTACCATCCCCTTAGATAAAAACCTATGCCAAATTTGTTGAAGATATCTCGTCGAAAAAGTTTTCCATACAAGCACTTGATTTCGATGGTTCAGTTTGTGTGACAGCTATATGCTATAGTGGTCCGATAACGACGGTTACGACAAAAGAGAGAAGTTTCTTTGGGAGAAAAGGTCATGTACAAAATTTCGATATCGATATCTCCAAAACTGAGGGACTAGTTCGCGTACACATACAGACCGACGGACAGACAGACGTACAGTCATGCTGATCACTTATATATTGTACATACTTAATAGGGTCTCTGACGTTACCTTCTGTGTGTTACAAACTTCGTGGCAAACTTAATATAACCGTTCAGGGTATAAAAAGAATATACTATAAAATCACTAGTAAATGTAAATATTAGTTTAATGATGGCATACTATATATAAAGCTTATAAAATCCTACATAATCTTTACCTAGCAAACAAAAACAAATACAGGTATAGTGAGTGCGTGAGATAGCTGAGGTACATTTTTTGTTTATACAGTAGTTATCAAATGAGTTTTTTAATATTTGTCAATAAAAAAACGTATCCATAAGTTTAGCTTTAATGCAATACACAAGTATTTATGTATATGGGAAACGATAACAGGGAATACTGATTAAAATGATCGAATGCTTGCGGAGATACTCAATTAACGGGAACAAGTTAACAGTATCGTATATGTACATTAGAGTGGGTATGTCGATTCTCTGAAAAATTTGTTGATAGACACCTCTAAGAAAGGCTCCCCAAGTATAAGCTCTTAATTGTAAAGCGAAGGTCCTCCGCCTAACGGATTTCTATTTTTTCTATTATCAGATAGAAAAACTCATATCTCTTCAACTACTTCAAAAACTATCGCGTTTAATAAATTTTGTAGGAAATTGCATGCTCTACAAAATGTTTTTTGTTTTTGTCTTCGATAAGCAGTAATGTTTGACGAAGAATTTATCGTAAACGCTTAACTTAATCAAAAAAATTATACAAGCCATTTTTGTAGAGCATAAAATTTCCTATAAAAATGTGAGCTTTGCAATTAAAATTATGTTTTTTCAATGATTTAAAAAATTAAATAGGCGGAGGACCTTCCCAAGCTCATACTTGGCGAGCCTTTCTTAGAGCTGTCTATCAACCAATTTTTCAGACTACCAAGCGAAAAAAAAGATTCGTTTTTTTTACCCTCCCTAATGTATTGTACATACATACTACAAATAAAAATATATCTAGAAGTGTTTTACATTGAAAAAAATATATATTTAATTACTCACTGGTACATGTTCATAGCATACTAATTTCGAACAAAGGCATTCTTTAGCTTGATTTTTATCAGAACAAAATAGAAGCACAATAAGAAATAATAATAATAATGAAAAAAGATATTAATTAAAATTGCTTCACGTTTCATGATTGTCTGCAATTGCTACCGTTCACTTGTTGGCCATTGTCGGTATGTATTCATTTACACACATGCATATATGTATACTTATGCATAGACAATATATACAAGTAGACACTACTCATACACAGCTTTGTCGATATTCACGTCTAATAAATTAATTAATATGCACAACAAATTGTGATTTCACTTACATGATAAATTTATAAGCATTTATTACAGTAATGCATAAATACCTACTTACACATGTAAAAGTGAAACAGTGTGTCCGAATTGCAGCGAGACATATTGAATAACATCTAAGGTTCGATGTCTCATGCAATAAATGGATCACATAAGTATGTGTACGTACAAGTATGTGTGGAAATAAGGAAACTACGTAATATTAAACAGACTAAGAAAGTATGTTAATGTGTCCAGGTAAAAGAATTTTTAAAATTCCTAATAATTCGCATTCACAAGTAGATGATTCCGATAGACTTCGGAAACGTATAATTTTTATATTATCGCAGACGGATTAGTGATCTATTTCCCGACCAACTCAGTGCGAGCTCTACTATGTATTACTAACCACCACCTCTATAATTGCTCCTCTATATTTGCTCTCTTTCCTCTCCTCTCTTTCCCCCTATTCTTCTCTCTTCGATATGATTAGACTGGTCTATTTTATTTACACTAGTTGTTTGTTTCATTCGACACTCACCAAACTTTGGCACAAATTACAATTTCTCAACACAGTTAACATTTTTAAATATACTTCAGACAATTCTAACATGAAATTTATATCAAACGTCCTGCGTTCATCTCAGTGACCTGCATTAATCACAGGAATTTTTGC